AATTAATACAATTTATGAAATGAAATGAAAAAAATGAAAAAAATTTTTCTGAACATGGCTCGACAAAAGTGTAACAGGAAGTGACATCAAAGGGGAACTCTTTAAGGAAACAACCTCTCTGGTCTTTTTTAATAATTAAACCATTATTATTTGAACTCTAACCCTTCTTCATCTCTCTGATAGTGACTGAAAATAATCTAAAGAAACATCAGATTCTTCTCTACATTTTGTATTAACTGTTATAACAAAGCTCTGTTCACATTTAGATATTCCCCTTTGTCATCACTTCCCGTTACTTCACATGTAGATATCTCAACAAYCGTTCAGCTAAGTAGTGTGAAAATTTCTTTGCAGTAGGTTAATGTTATTTTTCCAAAAATGCATTCATATTTATTACAAAAAATGACATCAGAGGCACTTTAAAGGTTTGACYTGACTTACAAAATAATATAAAACACTGAATTCTATTAAAAATGCAAACATTTTCTTCAGTTCAGGAGGACAGAGTATGGCATTTCCAGCCCTCTTAGCCCAATAATTCCATGCACGTATAGGGCCAAAACACATCCTAATGTATATCACACTGCGAGGCAGCACACGCTGCTCCATATGTTAATATTTGTCAAAGTGCACTCAAATGAATGTGGCACAGAAATAGCTCCTCTTCCCTCAATCTTCAGAATATCTGCACCTCTTTTCCTGCCTTTTATATCTGGCCTCTTTCCCTATTTCCTCTCCAAAATAGTACCCATCATTTCTTATTCTCCCTAGAGAGTCTCATCTATTTTGTCTGTGCACGTGTGTGTGAGTGTGTGTGTGTGTGTTTGTGCGTGATATATGTACATATGGTGAAATGATAAGTGAGACCGCCTCATTCCATGTTAATTGGTTTAGGGTGCTCTAGCCAGATTAGTCTGAAAGAAGGATGGAAAGAAAGAGGTGAGGAAATTGAAGGTAGTAGGATAAGTCAGATAAGGAGTTCAGACTGATGAACAGTGTTCTGTTTCTTGTTAAATACATTAAAGAGTCTGGCTCTTGGTGTCAGTTTCTCATCATGTAATTTGTGTGTGTTTGTGGTGAACCAGCCATGAGTTATGGGATTCATTAAATCTTTATTGTTAGACTACTTTGATATATTCCAAATTATCTTGTATCAACTGTTGGTAATTTAAGGTTGTATTCACACCCGATAGTCCGGTAGACTCGGTTTGATTGGGGGACAAAATTGCAAGAATTGTTTTAATTTTCAGTTGGTGCAGTTTGCATTCACWCTGCCTTTTGTCAAAGGAACCAAACCCAATGAACAACCTGTAGGAGGCATCCTAACCAGATGCCTGAGCCAGCTCAACTGGCTCTTCTCGACGTGGAGGAGCAGCGGCTCTWCTCTGAGTCCCTCCAGGATGACTGAGCTTCTCACCCTATCTCTAAGGGAGAGTCCAGACACCCTGCAGAGGAAACTCATTTCAGCTGCTTGTATCTGCAATCTCGTTCTTTCAGTCACTACCCGAAGCTCGTGACCATAGATGAGGGTAGGAACGTAGACCGACTGGTAAATTGAGAGCTTCGCCTTCTGGCTCAGCTCTCGCTTCACCACGACGGACCGGTACAGYGCCCACATCACTGCAGACACAGCACCAATCCACCTGTCGATCTCTCGCTCCATTCTTCCCTAATTCATGAACAAGACCCCGAGATATTTAAACTCCTCCACTTGGGGCAGGACCTCCTCCCCGACCCAGAGGAGGCACCCTACCCTTTTCCGGCTCAAGACCATGGTCTTGGRTTTGGAGGCACTGATCCTCATCACGGTCGCCTCACACTTAACTGCGAACCACTCCAGTGAGAGCTGGAAATCATGATCTGATGAAGCCAATAGGACCACATCATCCGCAAAAAGCAGAGATGTGATTCCTAAGGTCAGCAAAAAGGACTCCCTCAACACCTTGGCTGCTCCTAGAAATTCTGTCCATAAAAGTTATGAACAGAATCGGTGAGAAAGGGCGACCTTGGCGGAGTCCAACTCTCACCGGAAACGAGTCAGACTTACTACCGGCAATGTAGACCATACTCTGGCACCGGTCGTACAGGGACCTAACAACCCATATCAAGAGACCTGGTACCCCATACTCCTGGAGTACCCACCACAGGAGTCCCCAAGGGACACGGTCAAACATCTTCTCAAAATCCCACAAAACACATGTAGACTGGTTGAGCGAACTCCCGTGCACCCTCCAGGACCCTGCTGAGGGTGTAGAGCTGGTCCACTGTTCCACGACCAGGACAAAAACCACACTGCTCTTCCTGAATCCGAGATGTGACTACGACCGACCCTCCTCTCCAGGACCCCCGAATAGACCTTACCAGGGAGGCTTAGAAGTGTGATCCCCCTACACTCTGTGGGCCCCCTTTTTAAATAGAAGGGACCACCACGGGATTTAACAAGCTCTGTTTTCTGCTCTTCCCTCAGCCTTGTTCATTCTGGTCCCGTTTCAAAAGCTATTTACCATGTTTGTATCAAAGTGTCAAAGCAAATCTGATAGTTAAATGTTGTAATTGCTTTTAAGAAAGTAACACACATCAGATATGTTTCTGTTGAGAAGTTTGGAGTAAATAATCAAGACCACTTATGGCTGATTGGCTGCCTGGTTACAGGAGGTAGATAACACAAAACACAAGGGAAGAAAACAAAACCAAAAACACTTTTTTTACATTAAGAAAATATGACATCGWTGTTTCTATTTAACCAAGAAATCTCTACAGCCACGGCTTTTTGTCACCTTGGTTTTCTGTATTAATTAATTGCTGTTTACCAAAGATAGTCCCAAAGGTAATGCTTTTAGCTCCTGTCCAACTGCCCAATGTTTGATTTCTGAACAAGAACATATGGTGGTTCTAGTCGGTTCCAACAAGCATGCTGTGTCTGCTCATGAAAGTAGGCTGTCCATTTTCCACAATCTTCATCATGATTTTAAGTTTGGGTTAATTTATCAACAAATTACCAAACTTTTCAACTTAACGTTTGGTAAGAATTTCGTTTTAAGAGTAATATTCCTGTTTAGAATTAAGAAAATACACACTCGGTTGTCTTCCAAATACCCGAATCTTTTTAGTTGAGCCAGTCAGCATGTCTAGTTTTCTGTGATGACACGTCTACATGCATTTACTAGTTTTATTTTACTCAAAGCTTGTTTTTGAAACAGGGGATTTAGTGACTGAACATTTCCCGTCTGTTATCTACGAGCATCTTTTTGGTGCGTTCTCTTTGCCAGTCAGCTGTTAAAAACTTGGCAGGAAGGTTTGGACTCACTATTGTGGCAGATGGTCATCTTTTTGGATTTAGTGCGAAGGTTTTGAGCATGTCAAGGCACAAAGATGGTGTTCATTTTGAACCAGATCAACATATTGTCCAAGCCATACAGCAAAACTGGCATTTGATTAAAGTGCTCTGTGGGCATCTATAACAAATGTAAGTGCTGCTACTAAACCCAGYCCTCTCCTGCTGTGAACCCCAACAATGCTTCCAAATTTTTTTTTGTACATCTGCAGGCTTTCACTATACATATTCATGCACTCTTGTAAGTTTTTAATGATTGATTTGTTTGCCAACTTTAGACAATCGTCCCCCCACATGGTCACTGTGGGTCTGCAAAGCTRGCAAAGGTCACACAGGTAAACAGGGAAATGACCTTTATTTCTTTTCTTTGACTTTCTGTGCGTACTTCATTTCATCTAGATATTTTTTTCTTGCATTATTGCAGAAACTGGCATCAGTAGATTATCAATCATCATAAGTACTTTTTTCTGTCCTGTTAGAWAACAGGACTAACTGAGACACACACAGTCTGCAGACATATCCTTTTACATTAAAGGGGGTTTTACTGCTTTGACATCTGCAGGCACACACG